GATCGGCCACCGATCATAATCAGACAATTTCAGTCAATAACTGGTCACCCACGAGTCTTACACTAACATCACTGTCTGTATTCTATTATGCTGTGTGCATCACACGTGTGAGTGTGTGTATGAATGTGCATTTATCTATCCATCCATCTACGGTTTATCCGGGGTAAGGTCGGGAAGGGGGGGGGGGTTACTTAGGCTGCCCCTTTCTTAGCAGCCTAAGTAAGGAGGCCCAGACCTCCCTCTCCCCAGCTACTTGTTCCAACTTCTCCATGGGAAATCCCAAGGCGTTCCCAGGCCAGCTAAGACACATAGTCCCTCCAGCGTGTCCTGGGTCTTCCCTGGGTCTCCTCCCGGTGGGACGTGCTCAGAACATCTCACCAGAGAGAAGTCCAGAAGGCATCCTAACCAGATGCTCCTCTTGACGTAAAGGAGCAGTGGCTCTACTCTGAGTCCCTCCTGGATATCTGACCTTCTCACCCTATCTCTAAGGGAGAGCCCAGACACCCTATGGGGAAAACTTATTTTGTCCGCTTGTACCTCGTTCTTTCGGACATGACCCAAAGCTCATGAGGGTAGGAACGTGGATTGTCTGGCAGATCAAGAGCTTCGCTTTTGGCTCGGCTCTCTCTTCACCACGACAGACCAGTACAGCGCCTGCTTCACTGCAAACGCTGAGCCAATCCTCCTGTTGATCTCCTGCTCCATTTTTCCCCTCATACGTGAACAAGATCACAAGACACTTGAACTCCTCTACTTGGGGCAGGACACCCTCCCTGACCAGGAAAAAGCACTCTATACTTTTCCAGCTAATTTATTTATGCATTTATTTATATAGCTATGAATATTTATTGAGATGATAAAAGAACAAACCTTGAACACATTGATCAACAGGTTTTGCATGTCATTCAACACATTCTCTGACCCAGGGTTTCAGTCACACACACAGACATGCACACACAAATAATACACATGCACAATATAGTTAGTATACATGGCAATGTTAGCTAGTTGGTTAGATAACTAGTATTAGCTAACTTTGAAGAAAGATAATATGTTGATTCGTGACAATAACGCTGTCACAGTACTCAGGACTGACACACACACACACACACACACACACACATTTGTGAGGTAAAAATAAAGATAATACTTATATGTAAGAGCTATTGCTGTGTAAAACATTATTCAGGGGTGACAGTTAGGTCTCAGTGCATTTGGTTCACAAAAAATGTTTTCCTGATAGTCACAGTTGGTAAGAAACAAAGATTCCCATTAAATTCCATAGGAAATAAATGCAGGTCATTTTGGACCCACTCATGGAAGAATGGGGAGGCAATATAAAACATGCCATTTCTTAAAATGTATAAAAGGTAAATTAAAAATTTGAATTGCATGATATCAATAACATGTTTCTTGAGAAATACCTGCAATATGAAGTGATGAAAACGTTTCATTGCAAAGATATTGCAAAAAGATGACCTCACCGGGTCCAAAAGGACCCGCTTACGCATCAGAGGGTTGAACTAGGGCTGAAACAATTCCTTGAATGAGTTGAGTACCTCGATTATTAAAATTCCTCGAGGAAAATTTATCTGCATTGAAGCTTCGTCAAATTAAATTTTAACGAAGCGCACCGTTTTAAATTAAATTTTATTATGTAGCGCACCGTGTTCCAGCCGGATCATTATTTGTGGTGGGCAGTGCTCTTACTTCCGCCTATGAGTTGTTGTGAAGTGCTAGCAGCATGGTGTTGAATTGTGGGACTTTTTGTGAGGGCTTGGGGAGAAATAAGGATTGTTGAACCTTGCGGTGTGATGGTTGGACTACGACAGTATTGGTGGCGTCAAAATCGCGTCATCATGGTTTTGGACTGAACAGTAGGAATAGAGCTAAGAGAGACAGAGTGAGATCCTATTCCTCGGACAATCGTAAAAATATTCTATAGAGGACTCGATTACTAAAATATTCTTTTACAACAGCCCTACTTTAAACTATAAAACCCTCTGAATGAATGTCAGTTCATTGGGTACAACAAAACCTAACAAACTGTTTTAAACGATACCAAATTAGGTGAAAAATCCTGAGACAAATGTCACAGGCAGACTAAAAGAGATGACATTGAATATAATCAAATTATTCAGAGTCCTTGTTCATAAACACTTGAGAGCTAAAGGCATGACTTATTTCAAAACAACAGGATAAATAATTGCTATTTTCAACACAAATAGTGTCCACAATATAACTTATTACTTTGAGAATTAGGTTAGCAACTCTTAACTCAGAATTATAGAAAATGTTCCACTAATAGGCCTGAAAGTTAGGCTGAAGGAAACCTGTGAGCATAGGCACATTGCTAACATTCAGAACATACATTAAACTAGGGCTGTAGTGATACAATAATCTCATGATACGATACATGATATTCTGCCCACGATACAATATATATTGCGATATTCAGTAAACAATACAATTCAATACACTTTTGCGATTTTCTGAAAGATTTTAGAGGGACAGTGATTTTGGTGACATTTTGTGACTGTTATAGAGTTGGATTGAATTAATTTAACAGAAAACTGATTAAAAGCACCAACCTGGCTCTGGTTGGACATGGACACAGACTTAAAGTCGACAGCTGGACAAAAAGAATCAAAGAAGTGGTGAGAAAACATGTTTCTTTTAATTGAATCAATACAAACTGTAGTTTACATGCATTTGTAAAGTAAATAAAGTGCACCAAGTACTCTTCTCTGAATAGTTTGATACCTTTTTAACCTTGACACTTATCTGAAGGAATCACTCTAAGCCTGATGACCTAATCACTCTCCTGGCGAAGCAAGCAGTGAGTGAGCAAGGTGACAGTTGGATGTTACGATACTTGCGGATGAATATCGATTTTTTTAGGAAAGAAAATATCGATATGTATCGCAAAATCGATATTGTCACACAGCCCTACATTAAACAGAGCGTCAGAACTACCCTTGACAATCTGCAGCAGAATGAAAATAAATGGCAGTGCTTTTTTGTTGTTTCCAGTTCAAATTTTTGATCATAACTTCTCATTAGTGAGAGATAGATTGTGTGTGAACATACTCCACTCATGACAAAATAAGGAAAAAGATGTCTACTTTAAAAAAAATTTGATAGATGTAGACCATCTATAAAGAACATCCCTGCAACTTGTAGACAAAGTCAATAACTAATTTAGAATTGTATAATTTGTCTGTTAAACTCATTTTATTAGTGTATAAACTTTCTTTAGAAATGTTTCAGATTGCCTATCTAAACAGCAACAAAGAAAGTAAATGTGTGGGTTTAATGACAATAATTTTGCCGGAGGAAAGAAGTGTCAGAGCAGGAATAAACAGGTTAGAGAGGATTCCTTTGGAATTAAAGTGGAACTAAGAGACTGAGTTAGAATAATGCGACAGTGCTCCCTTCAATAGTCACACCTGCAGTTTTGCGCCACAGTCGTAAAATATCGATCTCGCCCTAAAAAGATTAGGAGAGAGGAAAAATACACACCTCTAATCCCCTTTGACAACGTTAGCTGAACACTGCTAACCTAGCAGAGTGAGTTAGCTAACAGCTAGCGTTAGCACCAACCCGGACGGAGATTGCTCGAGTAAAAAAAACACAATCTAGGCTAGTTTACCAGACCAGGTCGGGTTCTGGCACTGGTTTACTTGAACACTCCAAGTTAGAGTCGTGCGGGTACCTTTCGTCCTTAAATGAGAGTGCTGGGTGAGCTCATAAAGTCGTTTCAGATACATTCCCCTACCCACCTAATAACATGGTGGCTCCTAGATCCATATACCACGGAAAACAGAAGGAAGCATATCCACGTTCGAAGGTTAAAAAAAAAACATATATCCCTTTTTCTGTTGGCAGTCGGGTTCTCCGAAAAAAAAACTCCAAAGCCAGGTTTGATTTGAGGCGTAATACTGTTAGGTCATTACAACCGATAAGTCCATATTTTACTCTTGTCCATGTTAGGCTAGTATCCACTGAAAACTGAAAGCTGGCTTTGCGGACTTCCTCCTTCTCTCCCAACAGCACTGCCAAGCGGCAATGGCGACACACACTCACTCCCTGCTCCCCCGCCCTGTATGTCTACGTATATCAGCCCATCCCTTTTCATCCCGGTTCACCCACACCTGTCCCTCTCTCCCTCGTCATATTCAGATTGTAGGTAATTTATGTAAAGGCCTTTTCACCTGTATGCAAATACAACAAACTGTGTTCGCGAGTCAAATTATCAGTGATAAAAGTAGACCGGATAACTTAGTCTTACTGGACCCAAATGGAACTTCATAACGTAAAACACCTCATTATAGAGTTGGTTATTTATGATTTAATGAAACTTGTACGACAAAAAAATATTTGGTTAAAATAAGAGTACACTGCAGCCTCATCTCTGCACAAATGCATACCATATTATATTTATAACGAAGAAAAATCTCTTTGAAATTTCTGAATAGTCATATGCAGAGTTGGGAAACTAATTACATTTATTAAATTACATTTATTAAATTATTAAATTACATTTATGAGTACCTTTAAAAAAAACTTTTAGGAGTATTTTTATCACACTATACTTTTTACTTTTACTTGAGAAATTTTATAATGAAGCATTGCTACTCTTACTTGAGTAAAATTTCTTGATTCTCTATCATCACTGAATGAAAGACAGATATGTTTTAAACAAAGACACAGACACACACATTCAGTTTTTGATAAAGTTTCATAAGTTTTATATGAAATTGATCTGGAAAAATGTTCTTTTGCCTGATTTTGTTACTTATATGAATTATTGACATTTTGGTAACTTTATATTTTGGTGCATCTGATAATGTAATTTTTAAATATTAAGTGATTAACAATTTGATTAGTTACTCAGTACTTGAGTGAACTTTTTGCCAATTACTCTTTTGCTCGTACTAGAGTAATTCTTTGGACAGCTACATTGTACTTTTACTTGAGTAAAAATATGTTGAAGTAGTGCTACTCTTACTTGAGTGCAATTTTTAGAAATATCCCACCTACCTCTGGCCATGAGCCTGACAAAGAATGCAGTTGCAACAAGAAGTTTCTGGTTAAAAAGACACATGAAGACATCTGAAGTAGGAGTGTACAGCTAAATCAGGCCTGATTTCCTTAATTTGGGGAAAGCGGCAATCAGTGGATACTTACATGAGAAACTGATCTTATCCACTGATCTTATCTACCTCCGCAAAGGTCTGGAAATCATCCACTATTTTCTATTCCTCTATTGTGAGAGGACTGACTGACAGATCTGCCCACCAGGTCATGCCTGCACATGTACACTTAAAAATAATCCATTCACTGTTGCAAACATAACATCTTCATCCCTATATTTAAGCAAATATTTAGACAAAAAAATTGTTGGCCAAAACTCGAATTGGCAGGTCTTTTTAAAGATAGTGGTTGGCCAGAAAACTACAATCAGTTCATCCCTAGTTTGAAATGAAATCAGGCCGTCTCTTGTTTTAGGTCAGTTGGTCAACCACCAAAATGATTTCCATTTGCTAAATGCCCCAATGTTGATAGAAATAATATGTCAAATATTAATCTATTTATAAATGAATATCATTCTGTATGTGAAATTCACAATCAGAAGTTCACATACAGAATAACAACCATCTCTTTAAGCAATGAAGAGAGCCAAGATGATGTCATGGCTTTGGAAACTCCTTACTTGAGTTAATTGGAGACACTGCTGTGGATGTACACTGCATCACGAAAGTATGCACAACACATAATTTTATTTTTCCATATTTTATGTTTCAGCCTTA